TCCAGAAGCCAGTCAGATTGTCTTACTGGCCTTTAGAACAATACTCAATAAGAAAAATGGTCTAGGGTTATGACCATTTTTCACACTTATGACCGCTGCAGCATCCCTTGCTCACACGATCAAAATTCAGGTGCTTGGCAGCGGTCATAAGTGTGAAAAATGGTCATAAGTCCATTTTTTTCAGTGCTGTTATAACTTCAAATGGTTACTAAATTAACTTTTGCAACTTGAGGACTGTACCCATAATTTGCAAACCTCCATTTCTGGTTATTGCATTGTGAATCTTAAGTTCCTGACAGTACAAGAAGTTCTGGGTATGCAGATTCTTTGCTAGTGAGATCTGGTCCCTGACTTTTTTGTTGTTTGTTTGTTTGTTTTGGCTCAATGGAAAACCAGCTAGGACTTGGAATGATTACATTTTGATTTCTAGACCATTTTTTACTATTGAGTATTGTTCCAAATGCCAGTAAGACAATCTGATTTGACTTCTGGATGCCTCTCCTAACTTACAGTTCATAAGTAGCCCCCTCTAGAATTACATCTTGAAGTTAAGGGGCGTGCATAAGTGCACCATCGTGCCTACCGTCCCTGTCCTATTGTCCCCATTTATTCGTACCTATTTCCTGTATTCTTACTCATGTTTATACTTATATCTATTATCTTGTAAGCGATTGACAAATCAAATAAATAAATAAACTGTCCAGTTACATTTCTGTCTTTCCTAATTCCTTAAGGATAACCTTTCGGGGTAAACTTGGAAAAACAAAAGAATAAGACAGATTGGAGAAAGCATCAAAAATCAGAAAAAATTCTTTTGCCAATCGCCTCTCATGTTAAAACGTAAGGGTACAGAAGGACAGCTGGCAAATTTGTGTGGAAACCCTCCAAATCTAACTCCAGAGCAGCCCAGACAAGTTTACAAGAATGATTGCTATGTCAAGATGCCTGCAGAGAAGTAGCAAGATATGCCAAATCGAGTTGGAAGGAGACCAAGACATTCATTTTTATTTATTTATTTTATTTATTTATTTTGTCAATCACTTACAAGATAATAGGGATAAGTATATACATAGTTATGAATACATGAAATGGGTACATATAAGGAAAATAAAAAGAAACAATAGGACAGGGACGGTAGGCATGTTGGTGCGCTTATGCACGCCCCCTACAGACCTCTTAGGAAAGAGATGAGGTCCACAGTAAACAGTCTAAAGTTAAAATTTTTGGGGTTTGGGGAAGAAACCAGTCAGGGTTGGGCTTCAAAAATTTTAGCAACGGGTTCTCTGCCCGGTTACTGGGTGGGCGTGGCCATGGTGGGCATGCCCTAGTCTGCCTCCTGCACCATGGTGGGGGGGCGTTTTTGGGGGGCCCCCGGGCTCCAGAGGCTCTCTGGAAGCCGGAAACAGGCCCATTTCCGGCCTTCCCGAACTTCCGGGAGTCCCATTTTTCACCCTCCCCGAGCCTATGTGCACACCCTGCACTTACCTGCATCCAAAACAAGCCACGTGGGAACTTTGGGAGGGAGGGAAGGGTGGAATCTTAGCTAGGGGCTCTCCTGAACCCCTGCATACCCCCAGCAGCCCACCCCTGAAGATATTCTTTATAGCAGAGTTTCTAAACCATGGCAACTTTAAAATGTGCAGACTTCAATTCCTAGAATTTCCTGGTCAGTATGCTGGCCAAGGAATTCTGGGAATTGAAGTCCAGAAGTTCAACTTGCTAAAGTTGAAAAACAATGCTCTACAGCAGGGGTGTGCTGGCTGAGGAATTCTGGGAGTTGAAGTCCACAAGTCTTAAAGTTGCCAAGGTTGGACACCCCTGCTCTACAGTATTATTATTCATAACAGTAATACAGTATTATTATGCCTTGTCTTGTAGACTTCTAATTACAGAATATAAAATTTTGACTTTAAACATAAAGAACTATATTTCCCGTCTTTGTGTAGGAGATGCATGCATAAATGTGTCTCAATGTAAATCTGTTCATACATGCATCCATCCTACTAGCTTCCAAATCCCCTATTGTTTTAATCCGGAGTAACCCAGATTAAGTTTCTTTTTCAATTACTAGAAATGATTTTACGTGCCATTGTAAATTCCTCAATGATCAAATGTTTCAGCATAGAAAAAAGAAATGATAAAACTTGTCGGGCCTATCCAGATTAAAAGCTCTGGAAAAGCTATTCAAAGGTTCAGGAAGAGAGATTTTTTTAAAAAAGAAAAAGAAATTATTAAAAGACCTTTGCCAGATACCAAGACAGTATACCTGACTGCTTCCCAGACCTGGATAAATAACCCAAACTTGGATAATAGTGGGGTTTTTTTTCAGTAACAATCTATTACCAGACCACAACAGGGATATTTAAATTGGTTAAAATGTTTGACTCACATTGGATCAAAAGGACTTTCTGATAAGTGGTTTTGGGTAATGAAAGAAAAAGTTTGGGAAGCAAAGGTGTGCTTTGTCACAAATCTGTTTCTTCTCATATGTCATTCTTGAGGTTGGATCCATTAAACTTCTCTATAAATGATCAGGACTACCATTTTAAAACTCCTGGTGGAAGGCATCAGAGGTGGTATTCAGCAGGTTCTGACCAGTTCTGGAGAACCGGTAGTGGAAATTTTGAGTAGTTCGGAGAACCGGCAAATACCACCTCTGACAGGCCCCGCTCCCAACTATTCTCTGCCTCCCATTGAATCCCAGCTGATTGGCTGGGTCTTCTTTTGTTGCCCTGCACAGGAGAATGGAGCTGGAAAGCAGGTTAGTGGGGTGGGGAGGGAATGGAGATTTTGCAGTATCCTTTCCCTGCCATGCCCACCAAGCCACGCCCACCAAGCCATGCCACATCCACCAAGCCACACCACACCCACCAAGCCACACCCACAGAACTGGTAATAAAAAAATATTGAATACCACTACTGGAAGGCATATAACAACACGGGTTCATGAATGCTGCAATGCTGAACTTGCAATAAAAACACAGGGCAGGTGTATTTTTGTTCCAAAGGGTGTGTTATGATCATGCTGGTGCTAAAAATGGCTTTCTGGAGGTGAAGGATGACCAAGGGTGCTCAGTATTTGGATAGAAATAGTCCTTGCTTGGTGGCTGCTTCTTTTAGTGATCATACAAATAGTGCTTAAAAAAAAAAAACAACTTAGCAATCAATCCTAACATTTATGGCTTTTACAACAATACTTTATTACTTGCTGATTTAGCTCATACCAAGATGTCCTCAAAGACTTTTTCAGCTGAAGAAAATAGCAAGAACCAAAGGAAAACTGTAGTAAGATCATAAGCACAGCCGCAGTCATACGATTCTTACTTTAGAATGGGACAACTTGCCGCAACTAATTCGCCTCGCTGTGGCTGAGTCGCCGTGGTCAATTCACCACAGCCAATTCGGCATGGGACAGCTGTCCACAGGACAATTCAACGATTTGGTTCTATTATTTAAAATAATTTTAAAAATTATTTTATTTTTTGCTGTTCGCATTTCATTTTGTCCCTCCTTTGACATCCTTTCTTTAATGATTCTATTCAATCATTTCTTTGGTATTAGTGTAACTCTTATTCCACAGCGAGTTGGCTGTGTCAAGTTGGTTAAGCAAGTTGGCCATGGCGAGTTGTCCTGGACGAGAGGTATCAAACTCAAGGGATGCGGGCCAAATTTGGCCCATGGCAGAAGTGGTATTCAGCAGGTTCTGACTAGTTCTGGAGGACCAGTAGCAGAAATTTTGAGTAGTTCGGTTGGAGAACTGACAAATACCACCTCTGACAGAAGACTTTACAGTATCCTTCCCCTGCCATGCCCACCAAGCCACGCCCACAGAACTAGTAGTAAAAAAAAAATTGAATCCCACCACTGCCCCATGGGGTGCTTAGATCTGGCCCAGAGATGGCATTCAGCAGGTTCTGACAAGTTCTGGAGAACCGGTAGCAGAAATTTTGAGTAGTTCAGAGAGCCAGCAAGTACCACTTCTGACTGGCCCTGCCCCCATCTATTCTCTGCCTCCTAAGTCCCAGCTGATTGGCTGGGTCTTCTTTGGTTGCCCTGCACAGAAGAATGGACCTGGAAAGCAGGTTAGTGGGGTGGGGAGGGAATGGGGATTTTGCGGTATCCTTCCCTTGGAATGGGGAGGGAATAGAGATTTTACGGTATCCTTCCCCTGCCACACCCACCAAGTCACGCCCACCAAGCCACGCCACGCCCACCAAGTTATGCCCACAGAACCGGTAGTAAAAAAAAATTGAATCCCACCACTGAATTCCCACCACGCATGGCTCTCCTGAGCTCTGTTTTTGCTGGAAGAGCACTCGGGCCACCACAGATGCCCTCAACGTGAGTGACGTCTATCTGGCCACACCTATCCTGGCCACCCCTACCTGGCCCCCCAAGGTCAAACACAACCCTGACGCAGCCCTCAATGAAATCGAGTTTGACACCCCTGTCCTAGACCCTTCTCATGTAGGGACTGCTTTGCTTCATAACCAAGCTGTTCGTCCTAATTGCAGTCACTCAGGGAGGACTACCTAACGTATATCCCCATCACAAGATAATATTGAGAGCCATTTCTCATGCATTTCTATGATGCACGTTTAAAACTTTATTTGCAATTCGTAACAGAAAAGAAAAAACAGCCATACCGATGTTTATCGATCCACAGGCCCCCATAAACACTTGTGTAGGGTGGTGGTAGGGACACAGTTATACAGCTATATAAACGCAAATATGCGTAATGCTGATTCATTGCAGTGGGTGACATGGGCACTTTCTTAGATGGGAATTTTAGGGCCATCAATCATCTGGTGCAGATTTTTTTTTTTTTTAAAAAAAAGCATGGCATGTGATCAAATCCCAAATGGAAAAAAAAAATGAACATTCAGACTATATTGGGACACAATATAAGTCACCTTGGCTTCAATGATTAGGTTTAATTTCAAGCTCCAAAGTCTGCAAAATATTATGGGGTCTTACATTTTTTTTAATTTTTTTTTCCCCTTTCCTTTTTAATCGGAAATTTAGGGTTCCAGATAAGCAACTTTTCATGCTAGCAAATAGATTCCATCCAGCAACAGTGATGAATTCCTAGTTCAAAGCAACCGCTTAGCAACCGTCAGTCCTTTAAGGGTTAAACCAAAGATAGCAGGTTCTTCTCAGTGCAGGAACAGTTTTGTGTTCTCTGGACGTTTGCTGCAAACTCTGCTAGTGGTTCAGAACAGTCTTAAGGTCTCCACGAAATGTAGACAAACTTTAAAATCCTACAATGCACCATCATTTAACAGAAAAACTCTCCTCTAAAGGTTTAGGAAGGCATCAATTGAATTATCCTGATTCTTTTCTTTTTTTTTTCATATTGGCAGTCCAAAGGCTTTGCTTACTGGAAACAACATTTTTGGCAGAATAAAAAGGCTTATGGCTTCCTAAGGCCAGAGAACATAGTGAGGTCTAACTTGGTATCCTGTGATAGAAGTAAATATATCCTAGCTCTATGGGTGGCTGCTCGGAGGCACAAACTTTATGGTCGTTGTAGATAACCCACCTGAAAAGGAGAAAGAAAGAGAAAATGAAGTGAACATCATGAAATTAAATGAAGTGGGCAAGGAACCCCTACAACTGCTGACACCACTACCACTATCGCTGCCATCTAACTTGATTTAAGTGTGTGTGCTGATTTGTCTCGTCTGGAGAATTAGGACAGGGGTGTCAAACTCGCAGCCTGCAGTCCGGATGCAGTGGTGGGCAGCTGACAGTTCAAACTGGTTCTTGCAAACCGGTAGTTCCGACAATCAGCTGGCCCCACCCACTCACCCTGCCCTATCCGTTCCTATCTTTCTGTCTTTTTCAGCTCAGCTGATTCGCGCAGCACAGTGGATTACCGCGCCTCAGCTGTTCTACTTACCGGGGCTGCCCTGTAGACCCTCAAATTGATGTTTTTTGAATGTTGCGTGAGCTCACAGAACCGGTTGTTAAACCGGTTGCAGCCCACCACTGGCCAGATGTGTCATGCATTTGGCCATGCCCATGCCCAGTTCAGCAAAGGGGGAAAAGTCACAATACATCATGTGACAATGTCATGACAACACGAGTTTGACAACCCCTGAATTAGTGTCAGGATTCCGACACTTAACCCCACTTAAATCATGAGTCTCTAGCCAAACTCCAAAAGGATTTATTGGGAGTTAAAAAAATGCAGCACTGCTGTGATGTTGTGATGTTGTCAGCAACAGTGATGTTGCTGACTCTGAGACATATAATTCATTGTCACCCTTGACCCTGGTCTTCCCTCACCCCCTGGGTGTATCATAATTCATATTCTCCAATGGGACTCATCAATCATACTCTCCAGTTAGAATTTTGCACGGCAGAAACCTCGGTTGCCTAGAAACTATCTTTGAAAACATTTATGGAATGCAAGCTGCCCACTGCTTCCCCCTCCCTTTCTGTTGGCAACTCTAAAAGACCACATAAATATTTTATGAGTTGACAATTAGGATAATGAACAAGCTGCAGTCAGACTGCTTCCGACATTTAAAAGAATTTGTGGTTGGCTCTTAATCCCCATCCAAAACCACTACTAATATGGAAATCATCCCCATTCATTCATTCATTCATTCATTCATTCAAGTTAGAAATCAAATTTTCTGATATGGTTTCCATAGAAGCCTTTGGAGATTTATTGAGTGTTTTGGAGCGATAATTCAGCGTCAGAAAATGTACTCTGACAAGATTTTCACTCATCAAGATCATGGTTATTCCAAAAATGCTTTATCAAAAAGCAGCTGGACTGTTCTTTCCTTGAGGAAGAAGATGTTTTGCTTCTCATCCAAGAAGCTTCATCAGCTCTGACTGAATGGTGAAGGATGAAAGGATTTATTATATTGCTTGCAGTCCTCTGCTTGTTAGCATTCTTTCTGAGAATTGTTGGGTCCACTTGAATTGATAAATCCTTCCATCCTTGAAACATCTTCAAGGGAAAAAACCCCAAGTCCAGTGGCCTTTTGAAAAGGCCCTTTTGGGTTTCCATAGAAGCGTCGATCTCAAAGTGTTTGTCTAACTTTTGGGCACTATGTATCAACTGTAACACAACCAGTAATGTCACACTATATTACCTTCCTTCCTTTTTAAGATGGCAAACATAATGGCCGCTCATGGTGGATGTTCCCATGTGACTGATGAAGCCAAAGAGTTCATATCCTGCCCAAGAAAATATCAAGGGTGTGATGAGCAAAGTCATGATGAAGACGATCCAAAAATCTTGCCCACATTCCTCTAGCAACAATTCTTTAACCAACTCACTCTTGATTTCTTAAAAAGTTACATTCAGGAATAAAATGGATGTTTTTTTTTTAGATTGCAAACCTAAGTGCCCATAGATCAGGGCTGTCAAATCTAGGCCTGGGGGCCAATCCGGCCCATGGGGTGCTTAGATCTGGTCCATGGAGATGCCTTGGAAACAGTAAAGGACCATCCCACAATGCCTTTGTCAGCGAAAACTGAGCTCGGGAGGGCTTTGGGCAGCCCTCCCGAGCTCCGTTTTCACTGGTAGAGGTATACAGGAGGCCGTCACAGCCAAAAATGGAGCTCAGGAGCCCGTTTTCACTGGCAGAGCAGTCTGGCCACCATAGGCGCCCCAACACGAATGATGTTGAGCTGGCCACACCCAGCCTGGCCACACCCACCCCAGCTGCCTGAAGTCAAACACAACCCTGATGTGGCCCTCAATGAAATCGAGTTTGACACCCCTGCTATAGATCATTAAGTATTGCACGCTGTAGCTCTCCAACATTTATAAACCTGCAAATATATTCTGTGCGTGGTTGTCATGAATCACCTCTTACTTTAATGCTATTTCCTATAAAAGATGACATAGCATAGCAACCCTCAGCAATATTCAGCCTTCCCTGGACTGCACGCAATATATCTCAGGATATTGTTTTGTATTTTGGATGTTCATTATCTCCCTTAAAAGTTCCCTAGTTAGGCACATCAAGTATTACTTGGTATTCTCAGGCTACTTGGATTGTGCTACTTGCGTTCATTGATGCTCAACAAATTTTAACTGCTGTCTAAAAGTTCCATCCTGTGGTTTATTTCTCCTGCAAGAGTTATGATGGTTAAAAAAACAAAGGATAAAAAAAACTAAAGGTTTAAAAAATAAAGGTTAAAAAAGCAGGGAATGTTGGCAAACAAATAGAAGCATGAGAACAAGGTCTTAAAGACCCCATACCAAAACTCAAACATGCATCCTTCAGTACATACTTTTATCATCAGCTATTTCATATTGTTTCAGACCAATGGCCCATATCAATTTATTGTAATCATTTTTATTTTTTTTTGCTGGCTGGGGAGTATTCAGAAAAAGCTGAGATTGTTTGGTGATGCCAAAGACTGAACTACGGTCATCTAAAGGATTGTTTAACACAGCAACAACCAAGTTAGACATCAAGCAAATATTTAACCTAAATTAGAAATCAGCCCTGGTCTTTAGTTATCATGATACATATAATGTACATGCTTGGCCCACTGATAAGTTCACAGGAATGGAACATTGCAAATCATCAGTATTAAAATATGTGAAAAGTCTAAAAGCGTATTGTCATAACCTAAAAGAAGATTCCTGCGAGTCCCTTGGACTGCAAGGCGATCAAACCGGTCAGCCCTAGAGGAGATCAAGCCTGACTGCTCTTTAGAAGGCCAGATCCTGAAGATGAAACTCAAATACTTTGGCCACCTAATGAGAAGGAAGGACTCACTGGAGAAGAGCCTAATGTTGGGAACGGTTGAGGGCAATAAAAGAAGGGGATGGCAGAGAATGAGGTGGCTGGATGGAGTCACTGAAGCAGTAGGCGTGAGCTTAAATAGACTCCAGAAGATGGTAGAAGACAGGAAGGCCTGTAGGAATGTTTTCCATGGGGCTTTGATGGGTTGGACACAACTTTGCAACTAACAACAACAACAACAAAACTTAAAAAACATATTTGGGAAGGGGAAAAATGAATAAGCCAGGCAGATCAATGTATGCAACATATCAAAGGGAAACTTACTTCCCGGTCCATCTTTGATCCGGGGCCCTTCTGGATCCGATTCTGCAAGGATGTTAGCATTCATGTGGTTTTCTATATTCATGACTTCAGAAGCTACTTCAGTCTCTTCCTCTGGTTCAGGGTGACTAAAGATCCAGTCCAATGCGTGTTCCAAGTTGTTATTCTTCCAGACAGAATAGCATAGAATAATAAAATAGGCAAGAGCTGTCAATATCTTGTCCTTGCTGTGGTAGCATTTTCTCTTAATGAGCTCCTGTTGTTTTCCAAGAATAGACCCAAATATAGATGCAGAATAGTCCTGGGGTTATGACCAGTGATTTAGTTCAAAGTTATGACAGACCCTTCCCCCCCCCCCCGCGCAAAAGGTACTTAGCTTAGCAACTGGCCCATATTTACACCTAGGTGCAGCGTCCTATGGTCACATGATCATGATTTATGGTATTTATTAAGAGAAACCAGTGTTTACTTTCGGTGTTCAGGAGAGAGAAAAACCAAAAGTAAATGCCCATTTCAGACTATGGATTCAATTAATGACCATGTTATCTGCTTAACAATTGGCACAAAAAACATCACAAAATCAGGTCAGTTATATGATGACCCACATAATGTCTGGCATGACTTATGTCCATAATGTTAGGCTTAGTTATGCTCTTTATTTCAGGATTACCTGTAATACCATTTTATGGAGGGATTACAATTTGCATAACTGAGGTAAACATGGTAGCAGAAGAGACCCTGGTTAGTAAAACTGTACTAGCTTCTTCTTCAAATGCACATATTATATTGTAAATAGCATCTACTTTTATTGCATTCCCGTGCCTGATATATCACAGAAGAGTAACTGTGCACCTAAGAAAATACTGTACTTCGATGATTTGCAATAAAGCAATGAAATTTTTCTAACTTTTTTTTAAAGTTAGCATAAGCTGCTTTACCGTTTAGGCTCTCTGTTCCACTAACATCTAGTCAATATATACTGTGAGGATTTCAGTGATGTTTTTGATAATTTCAAGCACTGTAAAACAATTAAGAAAAACAGGACTAAAGAGCACCACTAGACTACAGATGCTGTTGAACGACAACTCCCAGTATGCCCTGGGGCTGTTTATATCTGGAGGGCTTTTTCTAAAAGTGCAATAAATACTTGTCTGTTCTACTTAATAACTTGCATTCTCAGGAAAAGTGTAGGAAAAAGGGGAAAAAACAAAGAAAAGGCATGGACTTCTGACTCCCTTTGGTGCAGTAGAATAAGATAATAACATCAAACCTCAACTCTTTGACTTTTATATAATAGCATAAACTAGCCATTACTATAACAACAAACCTATCTAATCGGTAAAACCCAGAATCAAAGTTTCATATTTTTTTCCACCTCAAGCACAAAGTTCAGAAGCAGTTCCCAAGTAGAAACAAAAGTAATTATGTTTTTTTTTTAACCAAAACATCTCTGCCAACTCTATCAACATTTGCAGCCATTCGTCCATTGTGGGAATAAGTGTCCTTCCGTTTTTTCGCATAAAGTAATCTTATTGCACACTTGCTGCTGCTTGCAAGAGTCAGAAGACTTGCATAACTGTGGATGTGACATTAATTTATTGTCACAATCCTATAGGGTCATAGGGGAGGAAGCATCTCCCTTTTGGCTACTGATAAATCTCAAAATAATTTTCAGGAAAACTCACTGTTGCTCGTAGTGCCTGAAGAGCTACATTCCTCTGAAATCCCATAGAGGAAATGATGGATACCATCTCTTCTGGAGGTTGATTATCCAACCCAGGAACTGCTGATCCTCCTGTTTGGGGAAAAGCTGTTCCCCCATAGCCAGGGATGGATAAAGGCTCTGCAAAATCTGGAATAAAATGGAAAGTATTCATTCATTCATTCAAGTCAATGGAGGTTTTCAGTCATCCAGGTCATGGTTGTCCCAAAGATGCTTTTTCAAGAGGCAACTGGACTTTCTTTGTTTTTCCTTGAAGACGTTTTGCTTCTTATCCAAGAAGCTTCTTCAGTTTTGAACTGAGAAAACTGAAGAAGCTTATTAGAAACTGATGATGCTTCTTAGATGAGAAGCAAAACGTCTTCAAGGAAAAACAAAGCAAGTCCAGTTGCCTCTTGAGAAAACACCTTTAGGATATTCATTTATTCATTCATACACACATAAATACATACATACATACATACATACATACATACATACATACATACATTCATTCATTCATTCATTCATTCATATATTTGCCCTTCCATTCATTATACCTGTAGATTGCAAAATCAACTGGGCCCACATGTATTCAAACATTCAAGGCAAATAATTGATTAGCATTTTTATCATTTTCCTCTTACAATGTCATTCACCTGAAACACTGACATGTCATCATTGGGAAAATGGTACAGTGTGTAAATTAGGTAAAGAGACCCTTGCATAATTGCAAAAAGAAAAAGGCAGAAATAGATCTAATGTGGTGACAGCCTTTTACTAGATCTAATGTGGTGACAGCCTCATTGTTGATTTACATCTTTGTAGGATACCAAGCACAGAAGAATTTGTAAACTGGGAGAGAGAGCAGTTTCTATCTCAATTGGGGGCCATTTCTGAAATAAAAATAATCTGAGCCTATGGGTTGGCAACATATTTCACAGAATTATGTAGTAAAATTTGCCCAAAGAGCTGCTGATTCAGTTCTACAGAGGAGTTATTCAGTCTGTCATCTGCACCTCCATAACTGTCTGGTTTGGCTCTGCAACCAAACAAGACAGGCACAGACTTCAGAGGATAATTAGGACTGCAGAAGAAAAATTGCTACCAACCTGCCTTCCATTGAGGACCTGTAAAGGATGAGTCAAAAAGAGGGCTGTGAAAATATCTATAGACCCCTCACATCCTGGACAGAAATTGTTTCAACTTCTATCTTCAAAACTATGCTGTAGAGCACTGCAGACCAGAACAACTAGACACAAGAACAGTTTTTTCCAGAATGCCATCACTCTGCTAAACAAATAATTCCCACAAAATTGTCAAATTATTTACTAAGTCTGCATTACTATTATTCTTCTCATCCTTCCTAGTACCTATCTCTTCCCACTTATTACTATAACCATGTTGCTTGTATCTTTACAATTTATATAGTTTTGTTTCCTAGTATGATTTGATTGTGTGTTAGTAACCTATGACTATGACTAAATGTTGTATCTTATGATTCTTGAGGAATGTATTTTATTTTTTCTTTATGTATACTGAGAGTATTTACACCAAAAACAAATTCCTTGTGTGTCTAATCACACTTGGCCAATAAAGAATTCTATTCTATTCTATTCTATTCTATTCTATTCTATTCTATTCTAT